GTGACAAAGACGACGCGGAGAAGGGCTGGGTGTACTACGACAACAAGGTACGTTGCTTTTCTTACCTTCATGCCGCTCGTGACGCTGATAAACGTGGGTAGTGGAGAAATGGTAGACGTGATAAGGACGGCTGGGGCCGCTACACCCGCCGCCGTAAATGGTGCCGCGACGCCGAGCTGGTCGAAGTCACCCCCTCAACGGAAATAACGCCATCGCCTACACCAAAGGTTGGCCCGTCTGGGAACGAGAAAGAGGCCCAGTCCGAAAACGAGTCAGAGTCCAAGTCGCCAGACGATCCACCACCGGAGTACAGTTCCCAGGCGCCAGAAGACACGGCAAGCCTCGACAGTGCAACCAGTGCGAAGAAACGGCGCTGGTTCAGACGCTCGAGTGGTGCCACGACGAGTGACAAGAGTGCAGCTGCCGGGAGTGGGAGTGGGAGAAGCGTGGGGACAGGCAGGAGGGAAGAGGAGGAGGAGGACGTGCATTCTCCGCTGCACCACAAGCAGCAGGAGCATGATTGGGGCATTGGGGATGAGGCGAGGATGGGCCTAGGTTGATGCATGGTCGCTGCCTTGATTGGTGGGACGGTCCGATATCAGCATTTTCTGGCGTGGAGTAAGTGGACTCTTTCATGAGCTGACACGTCCGCATGATCTCGTATACGTAATGTGCACTGTTCCTTTTGTCACGATAGAGACGAGTCTTCCAAGCATATGATCCAGATGTAGCGTAAGAAGGGCCATTTCACTGTTGTCATAAGGTGAATTTCGTTCATGTGCTATCCCACGTTGGCCAGATTGTCTCGGAAATCGCGGTTGTACGGGCAGTCTTCCTGCCATTGGGTGTGATCAACCTTGATGGCTGCAGATAGGAATCCACGAGTGTGGTGGGGGGGTTGTCCAAGAAGGTGTCCGGCTTGGGTATAAAGGTTACCCTGATGGCCGTGGAATCGGGCTGAACTCCATACACAGACACCCCGTACCTCCAACAGAACAAACACACCAGTATTTAACAGCTCCAACTTTGCCTAATCAATCAAAATCATGGCTGACTGGTACGCCAACCCACTCTTGCTGACAAGAAAATATCGAAATTGACGCTTTTGATACAGCACCTGCTCCTCCTGCCCTGGCTGCGCCGGCAACTGCGGTGGCTCTTGCTCCTGCGAAGAATGCAAGCACTAGGTATTTTCAACCCGTTGTCTTCATGAATTCTTTCAAACTGATATGGAAAATAAGAAAAATAGATTTGCTTGAGCGAAGGAAGGTCGTTCTGATGAATGAAGTCGAAGTCGGGGCGAGATGAGCGAAACGCTGCGATTTGTTTCGTGCAGGGGTTGATGATTCTACAGTGTTTTGGCACTGCTACTGCAGAGCAGCTGCTGGTCGATCCTTTTAGCCAATTCCATTCATTTCTCAATATACATACCTTGCCTGAGCTGCTTTTTGATCCTGTGTGACTGTCTTGGGATTCTCACGACTCCTTGGACCTCGATCTTCCAAATGCGGCAACCGGAACAAGTACCGAGCGACGTACATGAATCTGGGGTAGAGACACAGCTGCCTCGGCAAGATGTCTTCGGCGCACTCGTAAAGTGCGATTGAAGAATTTCGACTTTATGATGTGAAGAGTCACCAGTATTCCCGTCGGTGGAACGGGAAGTCCTGAGATCCTGTTCGTGCAGGTTATCGACACATCCAGCGGTCTCTTCTGGTTGACGGAGGCATCATGGCGGCCATGGAAGCCTTCAATGAGATTCTACACGAGGCTACGAACAGGCTAAACGACGGGAAGAAGCTTCAAAATGGATGCATGATAGCAGCAGACAAGAATGGTCAGACATTGGCTCCGCAACACTCTCTCATCTCCTACTAATCATCTCTCAGGGCACATACTGCATGCTGTTTCGTCGGGGACGTACACACCAAGTCCAACATGGGCCAAAGCATTCTCATCGGAAGGCTCTTCAGGTTCCAAGAAGCCTGGCAGAGAACAAAGAGAAGAACAACGACCATTCACGACGGATTCGGTGTGTTGGATTGCATCAATGACTAAGCTTATGACTACTGTCTCGGCCGTGCAGTGTGTGGAGAGAGGGCTCATCGGCCTTGATGACGATGTTTCTGAAAGAATTCTGCCGGAGTTCAGGGACATTAATGTCCTTGAAGATATGGTTGACGATGGTAAAGGAGGTCAGATGCCTCGACTGCGAAAAGCAAGAGGAAAGATTACATTAAGGTATGACAATGAACAAGAAGCCATCATCAACTGCTAACAGCAACGAAGAAACCTCCTGACTCATTGCTCTGGTTTGAGTTACGAATTCATGCACGCCCGACTGATGGCATGGCGGCAATGGGACAATCAGAACCGTAAAGCAACCAAGACGACTGAAGACCGTACAGAAGTGTCGCAAGCGTACCGTGTTCCGCTCGTCTTCGATCCAGAGACCAAGTGGTCCTATGGCTATGGTATTGACTGGGCAGGTGTAATTGTCGAGCGCCTCACTGGATTCTCATTGGAGCAGTATATGCAAAAGAATATCTGGACCCCGCTCGGGATGAACGACACAACATTCCGTCTTATGGATCGACCAGATCTCAAAGCAAGGATTTGTAGCATGATGACACGCGACAGCGAAGGGAGACTAGTTGCAGAAGAGGATTCGACAACACCTAGTCCGATCCGAAACGTGCGAGATGCCGGCGGAGGTGGTTGCGCTAGCACTGCGAATGACTACATCAAGCTGCTCATCTCGCTCCTCAAGAACGACGAGAAGCTGCTGAAGAAATCGACCGTCGAATACATGTTCCAGCCACACCTTAAAGATCCTTCTCACTTGAGGAAAATGCATGCTAACCCTGCAGCGTTTGGATTGGCTGGCAACATTCCGCCTGGAACCAAAGTGGATTTCGGGCTCGGTGGGATCCTGAACATGGAGAGTCTGCCATGGGGGAGGAGTGCTGGTAGCATGCAATGGGGAGGATATCCGAATCTGTTCTGGTGGATCAATCCGAAGGATGGGATTTGTGGATGCTACTTTAGTCAGTTGATTCCTCCAGGCGATCCGGAGAGTTTCGAGATGTACAAGAAATTTGAGACTGCAGTCAATGAATCTTTTAAGAAGGAAACACAGAAGTTGTAATGAGTCACATAGTCTGACTTGAAGTCCGTCGAAGCCGAGCGGTGTCGACCATTAGTACCTATATTACATACTCGTAGCTGTTCGTACAATTCTTGCCCTCTAAAGTTTACCGAAATGCATATCCTTTGCTTTAACATCCTCCAGTAACAGTCTAATCGTGTTCCAGTCTAGGGTATCGCTCAATCTCGATCCAAACAGTCTTTTAGCGAGAATGGAAATAATTCCTTGCTCGGTTCCACCGAGGCATGCAACAATCAGCTGGTAACAGGTCTAGAGAGCTTTCTCCTCATGATCGCATGACGGTGGTTGTCGTCATCGTCTTTATATTGGCCTCTGGCTCAATATATCGTAAGGTCCGAATGATTCCGGACGGCGCACCAGCTCTCATGACTTGAGCATGACATGATGGATTCCTCCAGAAGATGTCGTATTGCATTAACTCCGGAAGCTGGAGTTTATATAGACCTTCTTCGATCTCGTGCGAGAGCCCAAGCAGCCAGGGACCCAGGGTCTAGCGGCGTCTCGGGAATCGGGAGGATACAGAGTCAAGGGTTGATACCAGGTATGTGGTGCGAGCCGTCGAATTAGACTTCTAGTTTGTGGAGCCTCATGCACATGTAGCAAAGTCGATAGTGGGGCATTGCCTTTTCGCGAAGTCGAAGATAGGAGACGCGCTCTGCTCTTGGAGCGGACAGAAGCTTCTGAGCGGTCTCGTTCTTTACTACAGCGCGCAAATCTGAGCATGTTTGGGAGAAGATGACCTTGCTATGAAGTGGGAGAAGATCCACGATTTCGAACATGATGTCGAGAGGTAGATCAAGAAGAGGTGATGGTTCAGGTTCGGTCTTGAGAGTCATCGTCGAAACCTGAACAGGCTCGCACTGCATCGTTATGGTAGCCATTTTGAAAGGCAGTTGACCAAAAGGGGATTGTATGAGAGCGGAAAATCAAAGCTGGAAGTTGATACATGTCGAAAGCAGGGGCGAAGCATGGCATTAAATAACAGCGCAGGAAATCACCAGAGCCTTCGCACGTATATTCCATCTTACCACAGACTCACCCTTTAGGATCAAGTCTTGGCCAATCAACTGTGGCTGTCAGCCTCAAGGTGCTGACTCCCTCCTTGCGGCTGTAAGACGATCAGACCTGACTGAGATCCACACGCTTATTCCGGCCGGAAGATCAACCCAACGTAGGGATACACGCCAAACAGTCGAATAGTCAAATGATATTTTCAGCCAGTTCGCAATCGTCGCCTGCCAACCACTTGAATGTCTGTACTGAACCAGGTCCAGCAAAGGAATGAATCGTTGAGTTGCAGAATACAACGTCGGGGATAAGCATGCGACCCGCCGCCACGCAGTGGATCAAACCCAGAGAGTGCAGCTTGCGAGGTGGCTAGGGTCTTTGGGCATACTAATGCTGAGTGTGAAAAGAGGATAGAGGCAGGCTAGAAAGGAGAGCTGACGGGGGAAGTGCGAGGCTTACTGTTGATGTGTGACCTGTTGCCCCTTACAGGACCCGCCCTGCGTCGCCAGCTACCAAATCTCAGGGCTGTGAAAATGTGTCTGAATTTAGAACCAGCCGGTCGGGACCGCCGCCAATCATCGGCATACCGAGTTTTGCAGTGAACGCCGAATAGACTGTGCGCAATACCGGGAATAGTGGGTGCAAAATTTTCGCCCTGTGGCACACGAGAAGATGAATGAATTTTTTTGCTTTGCTGAGAATTATTGTTTCAAATTTTTTCGTCTTCGTAGGTATATGTTTAAAGTACAGTTTCCGTTGCCATGATTTTCAAGGGGTGAGTCCACCAAATTCTAGCGTATGGCCGTTTTGCTTACATCCCTCTCAGCGTATAGCTCAGTGGTAGAGCGCCCGCTTTGCACAAGTGCAATCCAGCCTGCGGGAGGTCTGGGGTTCGATCCCCCATTCGTCCATTTTTTTGTTTTGCGACTGTCCACTCTTTTTTGACGCTCTGATATCAACTGGAGGCCGGGTTGGGAGAAGAACGGGTAAGAAAGTGCGAAAACGGGTCAAATCACTGAGGACACAAGTCAAAGGGATGTCTTCGTCCATTTCTTTTTCTTTTGCGAATTTCTGTTTCTTCTGGACGTTCTAACATCAATTGGAGGTTGGCCGTAGCCGTGGAGGAGTATGAGTGAAAACCGGGGAAGAAAGAGCGAATCGACCATCAAATCACTGGTAAACTAAATGAAAGAACGACACTTGTATTCTTTTCACATTAAGCTAATTTTACTACACATATACGTTAGAAGCCCATTGAGAGACGTTCGGAGCGAGAAATCTGTTTACGGGGAAGAAAGATCGGAAATCACCAGCAATTTATTAATGGTTAACAAATAAAATATGAAATACTTATAAAAAGCATCATAAAAAGACTGATTGGATAGGGGTTTGTGGAGTGACATGTGAGCGATACCAATCCTTGGCCATGTTCGAAACAAGTAAGGCCTCGGAGTAAGATGCTCTCAAACTTTTGATACGAGCTGACTCCAAAGCAAAAGAGCCTTTCATTTTCCAGAGTGGGAACATTCAAACTCCCAAAGTCGTTCCTAGAGACTTTTCTAATACCACAAGTTCTGATACGTATCCAGCAGAGCTGAAACAATGGCTCCAACACGCTCAATTGTATGCATGGCCGGAGCCTTCGGACATTTTCCATGCTTATCAGCTCGCAAGCTAACAGGAAAATAGATACTCATTGGGCTTGTAGCGCTCGCAGGACCATGGGTATACGACAAATACACTGGTTTCGGCCAGATGTTCCTTAAGAACACACCGGCGAAGCTGCCGTCCATGAATGCCTTCTCGTCGTACAAGGTCTTGTTCCAGGATACCATTCGAAATTGTGAAGATGCGGTGATCGATGAAGATGCTGGTATGGCTCTTCTAAGCTGCGATCCAGGCCGTGACTGGTGGAATACGGTCATGGTAAATTCTCGTTATTCCGTTCGCGGATATCGGCTAATATGCAAAGGGTACATTCATCTCATCACACAAAGAAGGAGAAATCTGGTCGTATCTCTATTCTCAGATAGATGTAGAAGATGAGGCTCTACTTCACCCTCTTGGTCGCCACGGCTTTCCAGCAGACCGCGAGTTCCATCCTCTGGGTCTCGAATACGAGCCCGCAAGTGACACTGTGTTTGCCGTCAACCACGCCAGTTCCGGATCTGGTATCGAAATATTCAAGTTGAGCCCGACTCGCGAACACTTGTTGTGGGAACGTACATTCATCCATCCCAAGGTCCATACTCCAAACTCCATTGCGGCAATCAATGAACACGAGCTCTTCGTAACAAACGACCATTACTTCCTGGCAAGAAATTTCAAGCCGTTTTCCAAGATCGAGACATATCTCGGCCTCCCTCTGGGAGAGGTGCTGTATGTGAATTTGAAGACAAACGAAGTCCGGACGCTGGCGCGCCTCGGATTCGCCAACGGCGTCAAGATGTTGAACAAGACGACCCTGGCAGCGGCCTCAACCTCTGGACCAGATGTGTACATCTACTCTATTGACCCGGAGACTAAGTCTTTGACGCAGAAGCTGAAGATCCGAGTTCCATTTGCTCCGGACAACATCAGCGTTGACTCCAACGGGAAACTACTCATTGCTGGTCATCCGTACCCGCCTACTATGGAAGTCGTTTCATCAACTAACCATGAATACGACCTGGATAACGCAAATGATGGGAGGAAGCCAGCTTCGGAGAGGCCGCGAGCTGCAGGTTGGATTAAAGAGTGGGATGGTAATCCGGAGGGCAAGACAAGGGACCTCTACATTGGTGCTGAATATGGAACTACCTGCACGGCCGTGAGAGACGTCAAGCGGAAGATGGGCATCATTACTGGACTTTACGAGAAGGGTATTCTCGTCTGGAAGGAATAAAGGAAAGAGGAAGTGATGATTACTTATCAACAGTGCCGATTGAGCGGAACAGCTTTGACCAAAGTCCAGAACGTGAAATTGCCGGGATTAATGCACAGGTGGCGGCATTTTGTGCTGCAAGGTATACTGCTTGGTCTGGAGAGGCAGCTCTGGGGTCGATGCAGGGTCGGCTAAGGGCCGTTTGGTCTGCAGTTAATAAAGGCTAAAGATTGAAGAGTGGCGAGCAAAGACGGAGCAAAATAGCGTGAACAATCATTTTGAAATTTAAGTTCTGTGGAGATTGTTTGCAGGCTGCTTTATGCATGCCATGACTGGCGCTAATTGGCAGTCCTCCAGTGATCATGTTCGAGCTGCACCATCAACAGGTGTTGAAGGTTCCAGGTCTACCTCGCGGACCTTTATCGCTCCACACATAATCTCGATCAATTGCAATATCCTCAACTCTAACCAGTCCGGTACCAGTTCCTGCTGCTGCCCATCCACCATACTTCAGATTCGGATTCCACGCAACCCCACAGATGGCTGTTGCTTCTTCGTAGATGGTGTGGTATTGACGAGTGTTTTCGATACCTTCGGGGTTTTTTCCGGCGACCCGTTCGAGCTTATGTCCTTCCATAAATCGGCCCAATGGCTGTTCCAGCAGTGCTTTCTGTGCTGGAGACATTTGTGTTTGCGATGCGGGCTTCGGAGTGCTCTGCTGTTTGTTTGTCTGAGGCGAGTCCACATCCATTGCGTTGCCTTCTGCCGAGGGCTCCGCTGTGTGTGTTGATGAGCCTATTCTATTTACCTCGGCTTGGTCATTCTGTTCATTCTCCTCGGTCGCAGTTTCGCCGTTGGCTGGCCCTTCCTCGGGAGTTGATTGAGCTGTGCGATTGCTGTCTTGTTTCACGCCTCGCCTCCAAGTCCACTCAAACCAAACTTGTTTCCAGAGGTCGCCCTTGACATTCAAGGCTCGGAGGAATGGATTAAAGCAGACAACATTGCCATCTTGCAGTCCGACCATTATACAAGGATGGACCGGGCTTGATGCGACTGACACAGGCATAGCGCTCATTCGCACCGACTGTTCGGTTCCATATGCGCGGCGGATCGCATAGCTGCGAAATACCGCCGTGTCGTCTGGTACCAATACGTACTGCGACAAGTCGTGCCACACCAGAACCTGCAGGCCAGATTTCAGCCGTGCAGAGACGATAAAGTCCACGTCAGGTGATCGAAGATCGGTGATACGCAACCAGCCATCCAGACTTGTGGTACTGATGATGTGAGGGCGAGAGGGATAGCCGGAAACAATGTTGTTGATATAAGATGTGTGAAGGCATGCGTAGAAGGAAGGTCGCGGTGTAGCAGAGTCTTGAGAGTTGAGGGTCGATGGAAGATGAAAGATGGCAACGGTCCCATTCGCACAGCCAACGGCAATTGACATTGTCGAAAGCCAGCACAAGCAGGTCGGTATTGTATCTGGAATGGTAGAGGTAAATGCAGAATTGGAAATGTGAAAGCACCGAGGTTCTGTTCCGCCAGGAGGGAGTTTGACGTCCAGAACCCTCACGCATCCATCAAACCATACTGATGCAAGCAAGCCCAGGTGACGTTGGTCGGGCGGATGGACATTCTCACGTGGTGCAGGACACCATTTGAACTGCCTCACGTCACCCCAGTCAAAGCATAGAACAGTGTCAAGCTCTGGAGGGCAATTCATGTCCATCATGTCTTCGCTGCCTCGCTGATCAGAGGCCTGGATACGCCATATTTGCATCGAAGCTGGGTAAGGTTCGGCAGCGGCAAAGGCTGGAGCAGTATCACTCTGAAATCGCTCAGCAGAGGGGTCTTTTCTGGAATGGGGAATCTGATAGAGAACGGAGACACTCAGATACTGGTGAGGACCATGCTGGTTGGTCACCCATTCAAGGCATTGGATCTTTGCTCCAGCATTCAAAATCCAGCCTTTGCGTGACCCGGATTTTCTCGCCTTCTTATCTCGAGGAGTCGAGGGTGTCGGGCTAGCAGCATCCCAAGCATCCGAAATGTTCATTGTACAGGCGATATCCAGACTGAAGAGGTGTTGTTGATTGTTTGGGCCCATAATGAAGCTTTGCGGGTCATTGCTCAGTTGGGGAAGATATGCACTTGCATCCGTAATGGATATCGATCGTGTTCTTTGTTCCGTTGTGAACTTCTCTCGGCCTCCGTCTTCGTCGTACCACTTCCAGCCTTCGGTCATCTCTCTGTTTCGCATCTCTGGGGTGTGATAGAAACTTTCGGCCATTCCACCAAATTCTCCCCTTACTTCTCGAGAAGGCAAAGTTACAGTATGTCTCCATTTGTCGCGACCTTTTATGTGAGGAATGAGATCCTCGTCGGCGGTTCCCCAGGTATGCCTGAATCGTTTTGATCGCTCGGTTTTTCCTGACAGGTCTCGGATGCCGCGTCTATATTGTCGAGCGCCTACCTGGGGCGCCTTGATCCTATGGTCAAATGAAGGTAAGAGGTTGCTGTTCTCAGCACTCAAACCAAGCTTAGATATTGTTGACCTCTTGAGGTGTTGTGCTGTATCCGAATCAGATCCGACGCTGGTGTCATCCTCTGATTCATCTAGGCCGACTATGGACTCTTCATCTTCATCTGCAGATTCTTCATCTTCATCTGCGGATCCGACTATATCCTCCTCTTCGCCAGACACAGCTTCGTCGTCTTCCTCTTCCTGCTCCTCTCCAATCTCGAAATTGTCATCCTCGTTCTCTTTCTCTTGAATTCTGGCGACCACATCTTCGTCGGCGTCACTCTCGTCGGAGACGAATGAGATACTGCTCACTGTCCCAATATACTTGGGGTTAGCTGTGCGCTGGCGACCAGACCGGCGCGGACTAGCATCCTTCGCCATTTCTGAGTGCTTAATTGCCTATGACTGGTGGTAATTCATTGAACTTAGTAACAATTGATGAATATCATCATTACATAAGTATCGCGACGTAGCTCTTGGTTGTTTTGCATCAAGTACCCAGAAAGCCCAATGCGCGTTGTGAA